GTCACAATGGTTTGTTCAATTCCGTGAAAATATCTCCAGAAGTAGCTTATAAGATATTCAGCCTAAAGAGCTTCTTCTAGGTTTTGTTTACTTTCTTCTATCCCAAGTTAGATGCTGCTGATTGGAACTTTGGAAGGGAGGGATGGATGGTTTTTTTTAGTGAATTTAGGGTAGTACAAGGGGTATTTTGGGTAAGCAAAAAAGAAGGTATGCTTGGTATGGAAGCATTTAAGACAAGAACAGATGGTTTATATGGAAAAAAAAGGATATGTGAATTTAATGTTTGTTTTCTCCCAAGAACCTGTTCACGAGTACGTCGTAGTCTTTTAGTCTTCTGTTTTAATGTCTTAATAGTTACATTACATATATGAGTCTGACCCCACACATCAAAAATTCAAGAAATTTCTTTCTCTATGCATATATCTATCAAGTATACACGTTTATATATTAGACATAGAAATTCGTCTGTATGTATGAAAAGAACATCTTCAAGGTGAAGTATTAAGCAATGATTAGGTTCCCTGCAACTTCTTGTGCATCAAAATTCCGGCATAAATCCAAGGTCCTGTTCAAATTATATATCATCAATGGTGCTGTCTGATTACTATTATGGCCTTGTTCTAATTTGAACTATTGGAGCTTTCAACAGATTTTTTAGTTACCTTTTAATATCAAGAAATGGTTTCATGTCCGTCCTGCAAAAGCTTTGATTTCCATATTTTTTGCTGATTGCTTCACCGAGTTCTTCTTTGCTTGATCTCTGTCAAGATGAGGAAGATTTCTGGAGTTGTTTAGTTATGTGTATACAAATGGGATTTTTCCATGAAATTTTAAAAATAAAGCTTGCTTTGTTATTACCTGTGAATTTATCTTTATGCTGTGTTTTTCTTTGACTATCCTACTATTTGAGGAATTTATCCTGTAGACAAAATGTGTTAGAATAATGTACTCTAGTTTCTAAACTAGACTTGTATATACGAAAAGTAAATTAGGTTTATGGACTTTAAATCGATGCGCTAACGTTTTGGAGTTTGTAGCTTCATTCGCTTGTATGGCATCGATTTTAGTCTGCAATGTGAAACATCAAGGCAAACAGATTTAAATTTGCTGCTTAAGATGGCTTTATATGTTTTGATTTGAGACTTACATTTGAAGACCGTTCCTTTGCTCGTAGTGATGTTCTTAAACGAAATGCCTAATGCAGAAAAATTCTGTTAGTTCTATTGATAAAAAAAAAAACTTCAGACTTGTGGATGTTGGAAGATTTAGTTATACCTGAAATACTTTGGACCATGGAACATTACTTTTATGCAAAGATGTTGAAGAAGGTTCCACATTAGTCTGCAAAGAATCCAAAACATAAAGCTTCGAAGAATGTGGTAACGAAGAAACTGATGAGATTGAAACACACACAAAAGAGGATAAGTACATTTTTGTTCGTTGTGCTTCTTTTCGATGAATTAATCCTTGATTTCGCATTCTGCTCTGTTTCTGAGTTAACCTTAGACCTGCAAAAGCGTTTAAAGATCCATTTTTAAACCTCAAAACATGTTACAAAGCTTGATAAGCCGATAATCTGAATACCTATGTCTTTCAGATCTTTCTGCAGTTCTGAGATTCGGTTCCTTTGGAACAGTGAGTTTAGATCTTCCGTTGGTATTAACTTGAGCCACCTAGAAACAGAAAACAAAACTCATTGAACCTATAAGATTTCTATCACTAGCAAAATTCAAAATCCTTAAAAGAGATATATAGTAATAGAACACACCATAGCTTCCTGTTTTTGTCTTTTGGTGTCTTTGTTTTGTAACTTAGAGACTAAGATCGGAGATAAGTTATCACCAATCTTTCCTAATGATCTCTGACATCTGAAACATAAAAAAAAAACATCAATTTGTTGAAGCCACAAAAGAAATGCAAATTCACATGAATGGTTTCCTTATTGGTTTTACAACCTTGTAAGAAGTTGAACAGAGTAATTGTCTTGTAATGGTTTGTTCTGCCTTGCAAGCAAAGAAGCCGTTGGTCTTGTCAAAGTAGAGCTACATGGTTTGGTTTTAGATTTTGGTTTTGTCTTGGGGACATCTTTAACTTTTTGGTTATAATATATGAACCCTAACAACAAACAAACACACAAATTAAGGTCTCAGAATCTTTGTATGAACAATATAAAACAAAAGATGCAGAAAACCAAGAGGAATCAATCATTTACCGTTGCATTTATCTATGCGATGATTCAGACCGGAATCGGATGATTCGATGACGACAGGGTTCGAGATCTCTACAGGTTTAGATTCAGAGCTGGTGCTTGTAATTTCCTCAAAAGGCTCAAATTTCCAATTGAACTTTGGGCTAAAAGCTGAGATCATTAATCAG